CTCTCTCTCTCTCTCTCTCTCTCTCTCTCTCACACACACACACACACACACAACCACTTTTATGTCTGTCAATCTTTTTCTTATTGTCTATCCCCCCTTTGATTTTTTCTAAGTATTTTTTTTGTGTGCCCAACTGAGCACCCTTAAGTAGTGCCAAACAGTCGGTGGTTCCTTGTTTGGAGTGTCAACTGCACTCTTAGGGGGGGCGGTTCGGGATATTTGTGTTGCCTGTAGGTGATGACAAATGCTCGTCAGAGTGTCTCCCTGGCTCAGTGGGTGGTGGAACCAGCCATCTGCCGGGTTCAATCGTGATGCGAGTAGGTCATGTATTGCTTTGTTGAGTGTTGGATGTGTGGACGGCCTCGTTTGAGTTCCACCGCTGCCCTGCTGCCTGTCCCGCCTGCTTCGCATGTGGTTCTTCGCAGGTTGATGTGTTCGTTGTGTGGTGTGCCCATGTGGTTGGTGTTGCCTTGCGCTTCGTTGCTCCGCTGCCTTGCTGCCCTTCTGCTGGTCGTGCCTTCCGTGCTTGCTGCTTGCGGGCCTTGTTGGATGGTTGCGTTGTTGTTGATGCATTGTTGTTGATACCTTGGGCTTCGCTCCACGGTTGCTGAGTTGTTGGTCCGCTCGCTCTTTCGTCCCTTGGAGTATAGTTGCCTTGTTTGTGTTGTCGTGTGATTCACTACACGATTGCCTCGCTGCATGTCATGCGTGCTATGTCGTTCCTTACAGTCGTTTTTGGCGTCGCGCAGCCATGTTGCCTCTACTGTGTTGCCTGGTGCTCCACAGGGTTGCTGCCAGCTGCTATATTTCACTTGGGGACAGCCTGCCTTCAACAAGGGTCAAAGAGTTCGTAACCCACGCCATCAAATATCGAGATTTTGCAGATTGTCGAGGGTTCGGCCTCCTGATGAGTCAGTGCAACTCCGACAAAACAATTTTGTCATCATCTATTTTTTTATTTTTTTTTCGGTTTTCGTTGCTTTTTTAGGGACTTGTATATATTGTTTTGCTTTGCCTGCTTTCTGTGTTTGAGTGACGTCTGCCCTCCCAGCTCCGCAGTTCCCTTCACCCACTACGTTTTACTGTTGCCTGTTGTTTTATTCTAGGGGTATCTTTTTGTATTTGCACTTTTCTTTTATCTTTCCTTGTTTTGTGCATTTTTGCAGTTTGTTGTCGTTGCCTCCTTGCCTTTTGCCTTATTGTGTTTCCTTTCCCCATCTTGTGGTGTCTGTTTGAACGTGTGTTCTA